TGCGAGCTTCCCTGCAACCCCGTGCTTCCCTGAAGCCTCGTGCTGACCGAACCTGACATCATGTACCCTCACACACACACCCCAACTCACACTGACCCTCCCCCAACCCCCTCATTCCCTCTCCCACCTAGCAGCAGCCACTTACTTGCCTGCCAGCCTAGGACTTGCAACTTCCTGCTGGCTTCCCCACTGACTTTGGTGGTGGGAACCCAGCAGGTAATTGCCTCGCCTAACGACTATGGGATTCGGTTAACAATGCCAGCAGGACTGCAGGGATTGCTGTTGCTAAGTGATGCACCCGTGCTGTACAACCCCATTGCTTAGTGATAGAAATTCCAGTCCCAATTGCCATCATAAGTTGAGGACTACTTGTAAAGAGCACTTGAATGATTTTTTATTCTTGATGTAAGTAATATTTGTATATATGTTCATTCTTAATAGATTAGATTTTTCAAAACAACAAAATCTAGCTCAGTGGATAAGAAGATTATCTCAGCAAATCAAAGCATTGCTTATACTTCGAGATCAGGAAAGTGCCAGTAAGTGTACATTTTTCATTTATATTGCAACACATTTCATGAAGGATGCTGAAAAATGTCTTTTTTTTCTTTTCCTTTTCCTTTTCCTATGTATTGAACTTTTTTCCTTGGTATTTGATATTGAGATTGTTCTGACCTTTAGTATTGAATTAAAGTGCTATCTCATACTATCTAAAGATTCCCGACATCATCAGTACTAATTATAATTTACTGTTAAAATAATATATTGTTTGTCTTATTTTTAGATAATCTGTCTTGTAATAACTCAGAAAAAATGGATGAAGCACATCTACCTGAAGGATTTAGGCCAGAGTTTCAACCAAAGTATGTATTGGTTGTATTAATTATCAGTTAGTAATTTTACAATGCAAGTAGAAGACTTTATGACATTAGCCTTCCAGTTAATATTTGTATTTATATTTATGTATATGGTATTCATTTTATGGAGACAAATAGATATACTGAGGATATTTGGCTCCCTTCTTTTCATTCTGGGATAAAGAGTGGTGTCAGAATCAACCTCGTGATTATTATGTTTATGCTGTTCAGAATTCTGATACTTTAAACAGTATTTGCTTTATTGTGACTATGTAAGTCAGTGGCTATGTCAAGAATATTCAAAATCTAACAATAGAATGCCCAGGACAGCAGCATTCAGGGGTAATTAAAATATTCTGTAATTTTTTTTAGGTATGAAAAAAGGAGTTTGGATCTGGATTATGTTAATTGTGGGTTGGATCCAATTATTCATTTTGCTGGCTGATGCTCTACCAGCAGAAAAGATTCCTAATATTTCCACATACTCCCCAACTTTGCTCTGAGTGTTGGGAAAGTCCATTACAACAGATTTGTAAGACAAAAAGCATTTTGGAATAAAATGTGTATTCATAAGCTACTACAAAAGTATTTTTAGATCATAGTGAGATTTAAAACATAACCAAGATTATTTCAAATTATGATATGAAGTCAGTGCCTTGATGTCTGTAGATATGTCACCAAATCAATGGAATATTTATTCACTTTTTAGAATTTCAAAAGCCATGATGTATAGATGGGAATGTCAAATGGAAGCATTAGCATGGATGGGATCAAATAAATGGAAGAGACTAGTGACAAAGCAACATGGCAAACATTTATCCACTTAACCATTGACAGTTGCCACTGAATCAGGTTCAGCTGTTGGTGACTATATGGACAAATACTTCTATGTTGGCCTGTCTTCATCTCTTCTGTCTCTTTGATTTCATCCCTACACCTTGTCCTTTGCCTTCTGTTTCTTTTACTTCCCTCAATCTTGCTTGGCTAGGGCAGGATAAGTTGCCATGACACTGGTATAATCATTTTTTTATCCATTTGCATCATATGCTAAACATCAACATATGTCAATTTCTGCTTGCTGGTCATTGTCTCAAAGGAACCTTCAGCCTTATTTGGCCCAGGATTGATTGATTAGTTGTTCTTGCAGTATTCTTAGTAACAATAAAAAAATGTGTTAGTCCGGACCAGAGAAAGTTTTATTCCTTGCCATTTTAGGCAGGCAAATGCCATGCTTCTGTTCAGTATTTAGTTTCTAAATATCATGCTATAACACTTGTAGGTAATGGTGTCTATTTTCAATTAATTAAGGAATCCATATTCTGAAAGCATTAAAGAAATGCTGAAAACATTTGGCACTGCAACATATAAAGTTGGTCTGAAAGTTCACCCCAATGAAGAAGATCCACGTGTACCTATAATGTGCTGGGGCAGTTGTGCATTTACAATCCAAGCAATAGGTAACATTTATTCATTAAAATGTTGGCAATCATGGGAGGGTGATCGGTTTAGATTCTCTGTTCTTCTCATATAATTATGATTTTTGTATTCTACAGAACAAATTTTAGCCGATGAAGAAAAACCATTATTTGGTCAATTGTCTTGCAGACAGGTAAGAAGTAACAATTTATCATAGCCTAAATTACTGAGGGATAGGTATATGTGGTGAAGTTATAACACTTATTATAATTCTACTGTAAAGTTAAAAAATAGCTAATTATAATGAAAACCGTATAAACAGTAAGTTGTGATGAACTTTATGACACTGTTTCCTAAGTGGTCATACAAAAGGCCCCTGCAAGTATAAATTAATATTTATTATTCCAGAATTTCAATATGGCCAACAATAATACTAATCCACAAATTTTAATGTTCATTATAACAGCATGAAGGAATTAAGTATATTTGGCTATTTTTGTATGATTGTAATCATGTTCTGTTTAGGATGACTGTCTTACTTCATTGACACGATTTGCAGCCGCGCACTGGACAGTTTCTTCACTATCAGCAGTACAGGGTCACTTTTGTATGCTTTTATCATGTAAGTTCAACATTATGGTGACTTATCTTAATTTCAGTTATAAAGGCAGACTGTTGAATACATGAAACAGCTTGAGTATTCTTAAGTAACATTTGAGACCTCCACTCATGCTTTTGTACAGAGTATTGTTGTTGACGCAAGTTTTTTGTGCATAAAACTCCACTTCCATAAGAGTTGTGTCATTTGTTACCATGGAATACAACAAACAGGATACATGTGGAACTCTGGCTATGGGTTATGTTCTGGACAAAGTCTTCAGTGTAGGGCAAAATGTCCGCTAAGTAATGTGTTTTACTAAAATACAATTATGATTGTTGCTAATGAGAGTCACTCTCCTTGCCCTAGAAGAGATGTGAGTTTTAATCTTTAGCCTTCCCAAAGCTTTCCAAAGCATGACCGAAAACTGAAAATGTTGGTGTGCCCTGTGTAATGACATCATGATTACTCTGGCTGTATCCCTGATTTGCCCATTCTTGCCATAGAGAGAAGTAGGATCAGTTATAGGTTATTGCTGCAGTGTTGTTGTCTCTGTACTTGGGGGAGAGGGGCATTTCATCAGTGTGGGTACTGGACTACAAACTATTCAGGGAAAAAAGGAGGGGTTTTTTTGTGTTCACTCCATATAAGTTGATAGTTGGATGTTATTATTATACACAGCTTCATATGTTCACAGTAATCAAAGAGGGGGCAATAAAGGAATCAGCCTTCATGTGCTTAATTGCGCTAAGATAAAATTAAATACGTTTTTTGTTTACCAGGAACAATTCTCATGTTTTTTCTTCACCTGCATAAAAACCTATTTAATGAATAGTGATACTTTACGTTCTTGAATTCTTTTTGCTTATTGTAACTTGAAAGTGTTCTTTGAAATCTCATTTAGTGTTTTCAGTAACCCCATGAACAGTAATTCATCACAATCTCTATAACTCAAACATATGGGTTAAGTGCCTGTACAGATCCCTGTTTGGAACCTTCTTCAACTTACAGAATTTTGTGTCAGGAACCCACTCCCTCTTAATACTACATAATTAGGAGCAGCTCCCACCAAAGTCCTTCAGTTTGTTTTTATGCCCTTCTGATCTGTTCTCCACAAGAGCAATAGCAGCCTCAGCAGCCTTCTTCTGGAGTATTCTCCTACTGAAGTTATCAGTTGACCCCATGGGCTCAGTCCTCCAATCTTCATTCAGCAATATAGACAGAATCTCTGCTGTCAGAGAGATGAAATCTACGGAAGGGCCATCCTCTCTGATCACTTTATGCTGATGAGACCCTTCACCAGTTAAGAAGCTTGCCACTCATCCATGTGTGTGAATGACCAAGGACACAATGAAAGACATGAAGTTTTTCAAGTGGATATCTGTGAATTTACATAATCAACCTTCCTTATCCAATTTGCCTCAGTATGTGGTTATTTTTCTTTTGGATTAATTGCATCAGTCTTAGGAACTGAAGGGGTTCAATTCATGCGTGATCAAGTGGCATAGTTGGGGCCAGGTCTTCTGGCAAAACAATATAAGTTTTAGAAGGTTCCAAATGAGAACTTGTGCAGTTCTGTGCAGATGATCATGCACAAGCCTTGGAAAAGAAACCGCTCCTTTAAGGAGTGCTTGACAGGTACCACAGTGTGCTCATGCCAGATCCAAAGCATCCTTACCTACTTCAGATCCAAATACTGCACATACTTTCCCAATACTATATTAGTGACAGTTTTCCAGTATATTAAGTAGAAGTTTTTCCTAGTTTTGCTAGCTGACATTTCCAATGGAGAACTGGAATCTGAATTTGAGGATGAAAATAATGGAAATTATTATTCTCTGTTGCTGTGGTCTTTTATACTATAAACCAATTATTTTGGCAATTGTGACCCCCATTTAAAAATCTATCAGATATATTCTGAAGCTTATGAAATTTCGAAACCTGGATAAATGACTTAATTAGTTATTTAGCTTTTGTCATTAATCATTTTTTTTATTTTAAACATCCAGCACTGGTGCCTAATGAAAAAAGTGGAAATCTTCCGTGCATTCTTGATATCGATATGTTTCATTTATTGGTGAGTGACTAAAAATTGTAATAGCACTACTGTGGAAGCATGTGCAAAATATGTTTAGCAAGATGTTTTATTAAATATAAATTGATTTAGCAAGTTGTTTTATTAAGCATACAGCTCACAAAAAATCTTGAAGGTAGATCAACGTTTGTATATAGTCCAGAACTTCTGGGTGTCAAATTTCCTTTTTCGTAGTAGCAGTTCAAAACTGCTCCCATGAATTGCTTAATGCTGGGAAGGGTTGTCTTGCAAGCATGTACATACTTTCCCTTTCATCACTTACAATTTTCCCCTTTATCTACAGGTATGCTTGGTGTTGTCTTTCCCTGCTATACACTGTCAGGACTTTTCAGGAGTTAGCCTTGGTACAGGAGATATTCATATCTTCTACCTTGTCACTATGGCACATATTGTGCAAATAATACTTACCTCATCCACAGGTAATATATACTGTCAAAGTTATGCTGAATTTTGTGCAGGAAAATCAGGATTAAAATAAGTTTAATGGGAAATGTACATTGAAGTCTGGTTTAGGTTTACTTTAGAAAAACCAAACATTTTTGAACAAAGAAAATATTGATCATAACAATGCAGTGCAATGACATATACATGAAAATTGAGGGTTGGGGCTTATTTTTCCTTGAGGCTTACTTTTCTTTTTATTATTTGTATATTTTCATCCCATATTTCATTGTTGTAAAATATCTGCAATTGTTAATTTACAAACAGAAATTGTTGTTACAGTATATACACTATTTCAATTCCAAATTTAAAATTCTTATAAACTATATATACTGTATAACTGTATAACTTTTGAATGTTTATTTCAAGCTTACTAGAAGTTTTAATTTAGCATTTTGTTTTCAAAGTATTTCAACATATGTACTTGAATCAAAAACAAAATTGAATGAAGCGCTTTTCAATGAAGCATCATTGGGGAAACCTACGGTCAGTTTAATGGGCAAGATAAACTACATCAGGAAAGCAACTGAATGGGAATAGGAATTGGCAAAAGCTGTATTCATGGTGTATGGAAGCCATGCTGTACGAAATAGGACAGATATAAATATGTTCTATCAAGTTTCATTGGTTCTTGAAACTGTACTGATAAAATTGGTTAAGAATAGTTGTAGGTAAACTATTTAACTTTTGAATGTTTATTTCAAGCTTACTGGAAGTTTTCCAACATTTTTCTGATTGTTCCTGAAGAACTTTGAGCTTAAAGCAGCTCTGTTTCAAGTTCAAAATGAGTCTCTTTTGACCTTAGTTAGAGTAGTTGTTTCAAAATCAAAATGGAGCAGTTTGCACATTGCTAGTTTAGATTTCGTGTTTGCTTTTCCAGAAGAAAATGGCATGGACCAAGGAAACTCTGCTGTTGAAGAAGCTGCTGTTCTTGCTTTACATAAGCATATTGGCCAGTATGTGGGAAGGTAAAATAGATAGCTTGAACCCTAGTTTTTCTACCCATTGTTTTCTTTCCCTTGTCCTTTTTAAGGTAAATAGATACGGCAGTTGATTCTCAGATTATCTTAGAGGATGCAAGCAGATTCTTAAGTTTAGCAATGTTTCACTATTCTGGTTTTAGATTGTTTGGCCTTTAAAGATCAAAGTAAGCTCTTTGAACTTACTTAAGAATTACTGGAAGGCAGTGCTGCATAACACTGGATGTGGATTTGGTCCTCATACAACCAGATTTAGCTGACCAGGTGCCTGATATATTCTGGAGCAATCAGTGTTTCCAAGTGTTTCAAAAATCTAGATTAAGTCTTACCAAGATATTTATGTGGTAGGTAAATTCTTTTATCCAAAAAATGCTAATTTTTGTGTAGTATAATGAATCAGCTATCTGTTGTTTTCAGTGTAATAATAACTTTGCTCTCCTGTAAAATTATAAAGGGAAGTAAGGAATTAGTATCTTATTTCAGAGCCAGTGAAATGGGAACATGGCTAGCAAGCCTTGAAGATTATTTGCTTGTTTAGATTCTCAGGTCTATCCCATTGCCAATAATTTTTAATACAAGTTTGGTATGAAAAGAAGAACTGAAGAAGGCAAAGAGAAGTGTTTCCTCTTATTTTGCTCCCTTTACACTAATGGGTATGATTTGAAACCAATCAAATAAAGCAGAGGGATAAGACAATGCTGCCTGTGTCCCTACTGTTATTTGTAATTAAAATAGAATCACTACTCATATTCTAGGTACTCATCCACCAATTACAGGAAACCCAGCCTGCTTACCCATTTTACTTGTGAAAGTAAATTTATCTATATAAATTTATTCCAGATTGTTTCCATCTCTATTCAGTCATCTGAATGGTTGAATAAATGTTCAGCAGGTGGCAATACCTAGCCAAATTTGGCTGAACTCAAAAAACTAACTAGGTTTGAACCTGGTTAGTACTTCTATAGAAGAACACTTGCAAATCGGAGGCCCATAAACTAGACTAGATTAAACAATTCTGGAATAAGACACCAGTACTGTTGGCAAGAAAATAATGTGTACATGTCCATGTAGTCACCAGGACATGTTGAGGGATATCTTACCTTAGATATTTCAAATGAATCATATTAGATTTACCAGTTTAATGTTACATAGGCTGAAATTGAAGGATGGTTTTGTTAATGCATCCTTAATTTGATGCTTTTCAAAGGAAATTGCTAACTCATTTCATATGTAATGATGGGACTATCCCCTGTATCACAATTGAGACAGCAGGTTTGAATGTCCATCAAGCTGTTTCAAAAGAAGGGGGCCACTACTGAGGAACTCAGTCTCTGGGTCCCAGCCCTCTAATTTCTTTCAGGGTGGATATCCAGAATATCTTCTCACTGTTACATAGTGTGTGAAGGTAGATTTATCATGGAGAAGATGGTCCCCAAAGTAACAAGGGCCCAAGCTTATAAAGGTTTTAATAGGTGATCATTAGCACCTTAAATTGGACCCAGAAGCCTATTGGCAACAAGTGCAACTCCCACAGAGCAGGTGTTATTTTGTTAAAACAACTAAGGCTGGTCAGCAAGTGACAGCTGAAATTCTGCCAGCTGTAGCTTCCAAGTCATTTTCAAGGACATCCCTACATAAAGCAAATTGCAGTAGTCTCCCTGCAAGTAGTCTGTTTTGCCCCATCAACTCCCTCATATTAAAGATCATCTCCCAAACAACAACCTCCCAACATTCTGTTTGATGTTGGAAAAAAATACTATATATTTTCTATGTATAAAAATCCCCTCTTACCCCTATGGGTGGTATGTGTCTTCCTCAATCTTGGGCCTCTACCAAACTTGGGAGTTTGAGGGTTCTACACATTATCTTAGCTGTTCCTGGCACTGTGCTCTTCTGGACAGAGAGCTCTGATGTCATTCTGGGATCTTTTGGAGCCACTCTTCCAGCTTAGGAGTCACAGCCCTGAGTGCTCCTACCACCAGTAGGACCACTTTGGCCTATACTTTCTACATCCTCTCTAGTTCCTCCTTCAGGCCCTGGTTCTTCTCCAGCTCCTGATGTTACTGTCACTTGGCACTGCTACATCTATCACCACTGCTGTCTTCTGGTCCTTGTCTGCTACCACGGTGTCTCGTTGATTGGCCAATACCTGCCTGTCTATCTGGAAGTCCTACAGGATCTTAGCCCTGTTATTCTCCACGACCTTCTGTGGAATCTCCC